TTCCAGGTATTAGTCAGACCCCGTGCTCTTCTTTGGAAACAAACAAACTGTGCCACATTATGAGTATCTCTTTTATTTTGTTGAAAACCATCCAACGACACATTGAGCTTCACCGTCATGACGACAGTGATGCAGATAGGAAGCATCACTAAGGTGTAATGATGCTCCAGAGGAACATGTGCTGCTCTGGTGAACCTCGCTGGTGTTGTGACAGTGTGAAGACGACTGTTGATACTAAGCAGTAAAATTCTTGCACAATCTCTTCATGCAGTTGAATCGAACCACACCTGAAGAAGAAAAACTTCCCTGTGTAAACAGATGTGAGAAAACAGCTGTGCAATAGTCGAGTGACTCACGGCTCTGTCATCTCCCTGCGTAGAAACCACGGTGTCCCCCCGCCATGCATCCTTATGAGTTACTCACTGTGGCTGACATAAAGATGGTGACTTGGCATTTTCCAATACGGACACACTCAATAAAATGACATCATCGCTCATCAGTGATGGGGGGTGGGGGGGTCAGTTGTCAAGCAAACAATCCTGTAGGTTTCAAGTTTGCAGGTCGTGTCCTGCATTTTATTGAGTTTGAGTCAGAGCAGAAAAATGTTCCTGTGTTTGAAGTTGTTTTCAGTCTGTTTGGATACACAGCGATTGATTACAGCAGAACATAAACAGGAACTACATTACTCACTCTGACCTCCGTTAATGGACGGACTTTTGGTGGATGGCTGTCAGGGTGCAGCCGCACAGTGATCTGATCATGGGTGTGTTTTAACAAATACTTTAGAGATCCAGGCTTGTGGGCTTTGATCTGGACTGACTGTACGTCCTACTGACACTGTGAGGACAGAGCTGAATACAAGCACCAGTTTAATGCAGATGACCCTTCGCCTCCATCTGAACCTCCTGGACTCAGTTCAGCCTGCCGGCAGCTTCTCAGACGGTGACGGACGTGTTTACTCAGGTCTCGTGGTTCTAAAGTATAAATTACATCATTCACCTGACTGAATAAAATCACAGAGAAAACACAGTTTGGATTCTTTGTTCATGGCAATAACACAGGGAGAGTGGTCGATGTTCCTGAGATCGTTTTGTGGGTGATGTTTTCCCTGATACTTGACTTAAAGGAGCAGTCCACAGATTTAGCACCGACAACAGTGTCAGACTGTCACCATGTATTTCCACCACCAACAGTTTGCTGGAATTCAGGTGTGATATGCTAGTAACAGCTGGTGCAGCCCCAAGGCTGATGCATCCTCCAGGCTGATGAAGCCCCAAGGATGATGTAGCCCCCAGGCTGATGCATCCCAGAGGATGATGCAGCCCCGAGGCTCATGCATCCCAAAGGCTGATGCAGCCCCGAGGATGATGCATCCCAGAGGATGATGCAGCCCCCAGGCTGATGCATCCCTGAGGGTGATGCATCCCCCAGGATGATGCATCCCAAAGGCTGATGCAGTCCCGAGGTTGATGCATCCCTGAGGCTCATGCATCCCCCAGGCTGATGCATCCCAGAGGATGATGCATCCCAAAGGCTGATGCATCCCCCAAGCTCATGCATCCCAGAGGCTGATGCATTCCCGAGGATGATGCATCCCCCAGGCTGATGCATCCCCGAGGATGATGCATCCCAGACGCTGATGCATCCCAGAGGATGATGCAGCCCCCAGGCTGATGCATCCCTGAGGCTGATGCATCCCAAAGGCTGATGCAGCCCCGAGGTTGATGCATCCCCCAGGCTGATGCATCCCAGAGGATGATGCAGCCCCGAGGTTGATGCATCCCAAAGGCTGATGCAGCCCCCAGGCTCATGCATCCCAGAAGATGATGCATCCCAGAGGATGATGCATCCCAGAGGATGATGCATCCCAGAGGCTTCAGCCTCAAGCTTTTATTTCATTTGATTTTTTATGTATATCCCATATTATCTCATAAGAAGCTTTTAGCATCATCTGGGTCACCATAAAAACAAAAACATCACATACAAATGGGACAAACAGAACTGTTTCATGTTTCAGTGAAAAATATTTGAACTTTCCAACTTCACGCGTCTTTGCTGTGTCCACGTCTGCGATCAGCAGGAAATGTCGCTTCTTGTTGAGCGTCTGTTTATAAACTATAAACCTACTTGGTACAAACTGAATGTGCTTGATTAACTCATGTTCTGTGGAGGGCCACATATAGAATATTTTTAAAGACAAGATGGAGGCCATTTAATATCGACAACGGGCAACAGTTCACCCCCCAACTGGATTTTAGACATGCTTGGTCTCACAGCTCAGTGTGGGATGTTAGCCGCTGCTGCTAGGTTAGCTAGCTAATGTTAACCTGCAGACATTGAGTCGACCGTTCTGTGTAATGGGTTCAGGTTTCTCCCAGCAGAACCATCATGGCCTTGCCTTGGTAGGACCGTACATCGCCAATTTGGACAGCAGCAGACTCTCATCATCTCCCACAGTGCCGGAATATTATATTCAATATCTAACTGCTTGGTTAGGGTTAATTCTAACGTCTCTTGTGATGATGAGGTATTTTTAAAAGTTTTTTGTTTGTAGTCGACCTGAAAATCATGGCAGCTAAAAACTCACGATATGAATGTCTATTAAAAAAAATAAACTCATGTTCTGATTTTGGATCCAAACGGTGATTTCTGAACCTTTTTATTGTTTTTTTTTTATTTAAACAAAGTAGACAAAAAATACTGTCACAATATTAATTTGAGTAAAAAAATTATACCTCTTCCGACACAACGGCTAAAAAGGACCACAAAAAAAAGGTCATGTGATCCTGCAGCTTAAGATTTTAAAAACTCACAGTATCAACAACATAAACCTTGTTTTACCTCGAGTGTGTGAGCAGTTTTATCATTAACTGGAGTCAGTGTGTTTGTTATTGTCTTTTTGCTGATGTGAGCACTCAGAGAGAAAAACAGGCCTTTCACACCCAGGAACAGTTTAAGGTTTAAAGGTGACCGACACAGAATGTTCCATTCATTAAACTGAACACTGATTGAGAAACAAAAAGATGTTTCGTATTTTGGGAATTCTCCAGATCTGCTCATTACCTGTGAGATCCTGACGCCCAGATGGACAGATGAGTAAACCCTTTGACAGACCAGCTGAGGAATTCACCTCCCAGCCACTCGTCTTATCAGTTTATCACACTGTTGACCTAACTAGACACATTTCTGTTCAACAACCATGAATCAGCAGGAAAGAAGAACATTTTGTGCGCTCTCTAAAAAAAAAGCAATTTTACTTGGTGACAGAGCCAAAAACCAACAACAAGACTTAAACTAAGAAAAAGGTCAGATTTCTTCAGTCGTGGCGTCGTTTGACATCTTAAAGTTTTACCATTTTTTAAAGATGAGTTACAGTAAGATGTAAGCTCGGTCAACACTTTCAAATCCAACTGAAAAAATCGATTAAAAGCTGCTCAGCTCTGTAATCACTGACTCAATCTTCAGGACTTGTTTTTTGGACTGTGTGTGTGTGTGTGTGTGTGTGTGTGTGTGTGTGAGTGTGTGTGTGTGCGTGGGCGGGCGGGCGGTTATTTTGTGTTATTCTTTGTTTATTCTTGTATGCTGTTTTTATCTGTTTTGTTATTGTGCTGTATTTTTTACTGTGGCGCAAATTAGCTTGAACCTATAATCTAGTACTGTGTATCAAATGGTGACATTTCTGTTTGAGCTGTACACTGTCCCTTTTAAATAAAATTAAAAAAAAAAAAAATCTCCTCCAGACGTCTGCTCTAACAGGAAACTACAAAGACAATAAATGCCATTGTTTCATCACCACCTGTGACAAACTCCAGATGGCCTGGATTCAACCAGACAAGTTTTTAACATTAAAGTCAAACCTCAGAAAAACAACGACTAAAGTAACGTTAACCGCACTTTCACCAACTGATCTCAGCTGTTCTGGAACCTTTGTACATGTGACAAAGACTCAGGGTTTTTACTGAAGGTCAAGAGCAAAGTGGCAGGAGAAATGTTGGTATGTGCGTTTCTGCAAACCACAAATGCGTTACATTTCTACGTTATCATGAAGTGGATATGTTGCACGGTTAATGTGGTTAGGTTTAGGCACAAACACCCACCTGGTTATAGTTCAGAAGAGATCATGTTCATAATCCCAACTGGAAACGCAGTGTTGTCTCATTTTAAATAAAGAACTGCTTCATGGAGCTGTGGCGATGTCTCCGCAGGAAACACAGTGACAGTTGCTAAAAACACCAAAGTTTGGAGGCTAACGTCAGAGGAAACACGGCAACGACTCGTTAGAAAATGACTGGTTTTGTTGTTTGTTGGTCTCGATCAGTCGTCTGCAGTTTGGTGGGTGTCTCGCCATTCACCATCCCCTCCACCTCCTGATGATAAGAGTCACCTCAGAAACGCTGATAAGATAACATACAAACGTATCTGTGGTTTGCAGAAACATTTTCTCGTGGCGACTGGGCTGACATTAGAGACGATGGTTGAAATACTGTCATCATCTAATACAAACACAAAAATAAGTTACTGTGGGTTTTTAGCAGTTTAATTTTTCATAGATGACCATTTTTTACTGAAGTCCACGCCATTGTGTCTTCCTAGGAACAAAGTGCTTAATAAATGTCCCCTTACATAAGACATCCTCAGAAAATGACACGATCATTACTTCTCTTTTCTGCCACCCACTCATAGCGAGATCAGACACATGAAGAACCGCAGGATGGATTCAACAAGAAGTCAAAACTTTCAACACACCGATACTTTTTCCTTTTAAGTAACTCTGCATGTGGTCGATCCGACATCACTGCATGTTTTGTAGTTTGAGTAATGTTAACTGAGAAGCACACTGTGGCTTCATGTGAAAACACTTTAAAATGTCACCATGGAAACATGAAGAAGCAGTTATTTAAAAAAATGTTTTGAAACCAAAAGGTGCAACTGATGTGTCAGAAGTGTTTCAACATGGTGTTTGTGTATTTGGGGAACAAACAGCAGCAGAGGACAAACTCTTCTTTTAAAATTACTTTTAAAGTTTATTCAAAGAAAAAACCTTCAGGAAAATACATGACTTCCTGTCATACACAGAGAGGACATAAGTTAGAGAAGCACGGCAGGAGAAACACCTCGCCTCACATCCAAGCCTGCAGGGAACGTTACTGCAATGTTTCCACGTTTGAAGCAGCGCTATGTGAATACCTGAAATGAACAACACACGTGTTCTTTATTGTTTTGTTGAGTGGGTTATTCTGTTGGGGGGGGGGGGGCAAAAGAAAATATCCCCCCCAAAAAAACAGGCTCAAAAACAAAGGCTGAAAAGAAGCAGATGCATTAAACATAAATACGGTGATGCACATTAGTGTAACAAAACATGGCCTCTGTAAACATTTTCTCCACCTAAGGTGAGCGTAATAATATTAAACCACCGCAGTCGCATATTTACGTGTACATAGACTTACAGAAACAATAGAAACTATTGGTAAGCTTTCCGACTAGCTCTAAAACTGAAGAATACACAATGCTTCAAGTGATCTTTTAAAAAGGATTTCAGAGTAGTGGTTTCATAACAACACCTTTTAAATGCTGCCCTCTTGGCACTTTTTCCAATGTGAGTCAGCAAGCGACTGCTTTTTCTCATCAGGTATTTCTCCTCCTTTTTTAGCCCATGAAGAATATCAATAATAACCACAATGTTTTCATGAAGTCAATACAGCCACTCATCAAGGCCTTGATGCACTTAGAGACACACACTGGGTACTACTGCACACACAGACCTCAGGCAACACAGCATTAGGATGTCCAAACAGCTTCTCTGTAAGAGGGGAGGAAAGTTTGTGACACAAACTGTTACTGAGTGACTGACAGTAACCTCTGACATGTCAAAAACACATTACCGTCAGGGGGAAAAACACACTCAAGGTAAACGTGTTTGTGACCTGACGTGTTTGGACATGAAGCGAGAGCAAAAATCGGACTGTCCTTTGCCCCTTTTTTTCAGTGTGCAATCTTTGAGAGTCGCTGTGGAAAATCAGCTTCAAGAGCTCGACGCTGCAGGAGATTGACGCTGCAGGAGATTGACGCTGCAGGAGATTGACGCCGCAGATCAATGCTGCAGGAGATCAATGCTGCGGGAGATTGACGCTGCAGATTGATGCTGGAGGAGAATGATGCTGCAGGAGATCAATAGATCAACGCTGCAGGAGATCAACGCTGTGGGAGATTGATCGATGCTGCAGTAGATCGACGCTGCAGATCGACGCCGCAAGAGATCAATAGATCAATGCTGCAGGAGATCGACACTGCAGGAGGTCGATGCTGCAGGAGATCAACACTGCAGGAGGTCGATGCTGCAGTCTGCTGCCCAGTCTTTCACATATACAGACAACTTAAATAACGGCCAGAGCAGGAAGTAGAGAAAACTATTCCTTCCCCAAAAAGTGGGTTTCCGTCTTCTTCACAAACAGCTGAGTGAGGAAAAAGTTCTGCTCCGTGTTGCTCGTTCCTTTCGTCACAGTAACACTGAAATCCAGAGTCTGACATTGTGTTGAGAAGGTTTACGTCCTCATTGATGGGAAAGATGCAGGAAAACCTCGTCAGCTCTGAAGTGCTCTGAGCTTCTGCACAGATTCTCACAGCTGTTACAAATACAGAATAAAATATCTACACCTGACATAGAGGCTCCGCTGCTGCAGCTTTCAGTCGTCTTAAATTGAACATCTAGGATTGATCACTTGACAAGATACAAAGTAAAAACATCATCTCATGCCTTGGACCACCACACAGTAATAAGTCTTTCTACATTCTTGACACATAGTGCATTGCATTCATACAAATGATACAAGTGAAAATGATCTGAAATGGAAGATAGAAAAAAAAACTGCTGAAGCAAACCTGCCGACCACGCGTTTACCTCTGCCACAAAAACCTGATTCATCGATGACGCTCAACTCTCTGACCGCACGCACACATACTGAACTTTCTCCTCGACTGTATCGCTATCCGAATCTTTTTTATATCCAACTATTCACAGCAGTTCTCGAGTTGAGATCGGCCGACCTCCCGATAACCCGAGATGATGGTCACATTGGACCAGTTGAAACAGGACCACTGACACTATCTGGAAGATTCAACGAACTTTTATTTTACATAGACACCTTTAATCTTATTTAATCTTTTGGACCACGCCCACATCACTTCCTCTCGGACAAACACACAGTCTGGGGGTTCAGAGTCAAAGCAAGCAAACTGTGGGTGGATGTGCGTAAATCTTAAAAAACAAGGTTAAAGACACTCCACATGGTTACACTTATCTTCAAGGAATAATAACCATAATAATAATAATTCAAAAAATACTATTTTGAAATCCGTCTGCTTCAGCGTCTCTCTCTCTCTGTCATCCTCCTCCTTTTAAAGCACCTGTCCAAACAACACGATACTTCAACGACGCACACACACGCCCACCTGTCGAGTCCCATCGATCAGACTTACAGTAGAACCTCAAATATTCTGCTCTGCTTGTCAGTCCGTCCCTAACCCTGACCGGCTCCGTGACGACTCAGTCTGTCCCTAACCCTGACCGGCTCTGTGACGACTCAGTCTGTCCCAGCTGACAGTCTCAACCTTGAACCAGCATGTCAGCAGTAATTGGACCAAACAGAAGTACATTAACACACACTACTGTAGCTTTAATACAACAGACTCTGCCCCTCCGGCCCCATGATACACTCATACGAAAGGGCGGAGGGCAGGAATACAGGGCAGAGGGGGAACTCTCTGATGAGAGGCAGACCTGCAGAAGGTAGTAGCAGTACTAGTAATAATAGTGGTAGCAGTACAAGTAGTTAGAAGACCTCAAGCTTACTGACCAGCCCAGGAGCACAGAGATGATGCAGAGGTACAAAAATCTGTCCCATCGCAAACTGATGAGCACCAAGAAAACCGAGAGGGAAACACAAAGTCGTTTGCCCCCTTGTCTTGAATTCACATTGAATTTATTTCTACTTCTTTTCATATATTAATTAATCATTGATTTCATCATTTCAGGGGGAGACGACTTCACGGCTTGTCGCTGCATCGCAGGCGGCCTCGGAGCTCTGATGCAAGCAAAGCCAGAGGAAGGTGAAGAAGTCTTCGCTGCTGGTTGGCTGTTGATTTTGTTCTCTTGTGGTTGTCCGAGGGTTGACAAGACATCGACGGTGGGTTCTGAGATCCAGTGTTAGCGAGGGTGGAGGACAATGAGGAGGATGAGGAGAAGGAGGAGGAGGAGGGCAGGGCGTGGACCTCTACCAGCTGAGCAGGTTGCTTCGGCCCAGAGTCATAAAGTAGACCTGGCTGGAGCCTCCAGACCGAACGGAGGCAAAGAACACCTGAAGAGGAGACACAGACGGACAGACGGACATTTTAATGTGACGTACAGCCAGTTGTCTTCAGATGGAGACATGGAAAACACCAGTGAGGGTTTTTCATCTCAGGAAGGTTTCCTGTGACCAATTCTGATAAAACATCATGTAGTTATTTCAGTCCAAGATTTGTTCCCACATTTTGATTATTTATCTACATGATTCATAACTTCAGTAAAACTGACAAACAACTGAAGCACTTCATCAACAGGGACGTCAAGTTGGGTTTATTATGACCTCGTAATAAAACCAAGACGTCTCTGCAGTATAAAAAGACTTGGTGCTTCCAGAGAAAACAGAGATAAAGGAGGATTTTTGTTCAAGAGGGAGAAAACCTACAACTACCAGAATGCACATTGAAAAAACAATCTCCATCTCCATCAGGAAACAGTATGGCGCCCACTTCCTGTTAACAAACTCTCACTATTACAGCAAAACACGGCACTACAACATGTTTCTATAAACACTGTAGGCGAGAAATAGTCAATACAGTCAGCTCTAGTTCAGCCCATTGACCAATCAGAATGTAGACAGTGTTTGTGGACTCAGTCTCGACAGGATTTCTTCTTCTGATTGATGATCAAATTTAATTTGGATAATCTGTCAGATTATTTCTTCAGCAGCATCAGCTCAAACCAATACTTCCCTTTGATTGGTGGATGATATAAGAACAGCTCCACCGTGTCGTCTCAAACGTCCTGCTGTGTTTTTACTTCTATCTGTTACCTTCCCTCGTGTACACCTCCCATCTTAATAAAGTTCATACATGTACTGACACCAGAGGATCAGGAAGTGTTGTCGAATGTCTGAGAGCGTCTCACCTTGTCGTTTCTCTCACAGAGGAACTTGAGTCTCTGAGCTCTCTTGTGCATGAAGACGCCGTCCAGATGGCCGGTCTCCACCGAGCGGATCTCGATGGCCTTCTCTCCCCAGCCCATGATCTGGTTGGATCGGATGTAGGCTGCAAAGAGGTTTTTCAGTTAATCAATACGTACTGATTGTTTCAAAGCCTTTGAGTGTGTGTGTGTGTGTGTGTGTGTGTGTGTGTGTGAGAGAGCATGTTTTACTTGATGGTTAATCAAAGATCAGTTTGATTCATCAGGAATATTTTAACCAACGACACGCAGAGTAACAAACATTAAATTAAAATGATCACATGATCGACAGTTGACGTCTCTAGTTGCACGTGAAGTTGCACATGAGAAGAAGACAATGTGTTTCCTGTGTGTATGTGTGACTCACCCACGGAGGTCGGCATCTCCCCCCACTGCAGCACCACGTCCTTGGTGATGCGTCCGTAGGTGTTGACGTAAACACCCTCGTCCTCGTAGCAGACCAGCAGCTCGATGCCATCGGTGTTGGGCAGGATGATGATGGCGTGAGACTGGATGCTGGTCTGGATCTACAGCGACACACAACATCAACACGGTGACGACGGTACTGACGACTTTCTTTGAGACGTGTAAGAAAATAACGGAACTGTACCTGTGACACCACTGATCGACCACTCAGAGAAACACCGTCTAATACAGTTGATGATTAATACGACTGTGGTCTGTTCATAAACCAAAGACATCAGATTTAATCTGTGTGTTCTTACATGCGTCGGCAGGTAGATGTCGTACACAGCCCCAGAGTCCACGTCCACAGCATGGAAGCCTGAACACGAGCCGTAGATGACCTTTAACCTCTGACCTTCCTCCACAGTCAGGTCGACCAGCAGCGGTTTGTGAACCAGGTCACCGAAAGACTGAAACACACAGGTCAGAAAAACAGTTGTTCCTCGTGTCAGCCGTCGCTCAGAAGCTTCAGCATCAGATCAGCAGGTTTTCATGAAGCTGTCGTTAATATACAACTCTATAAAATATGACCTTTGACCTCTTTTAAACTTTCTACATAATACAGCAGGAAAAAGCCCCGTACAGTCCAGAGACAGTCCGGTGTAAATCCACCTTTACAGAGGTCAAACTGTTCGTCCACCTGTCATCATCAACACCAGGAATAAATCCACACAGACATCAGCTGATCAGTCCTCGCACTCACCTTGAAGGCCATGAACTTGTGGTAAGGTTTTGGTGCCCAGGCGTAGACCTCCACCGAGTTCTTCAGAGCCAGAACCAAGAATTTGATCCTCTCATATTTTACTGCGAACAACAAAACATTAAAACATCAGAATCTCACAAAAGATCATGGCCGCCACCATCGGGGAGGAAACAGCTGCTCGCTGATGTGTCCATCACTGTCTGCAGTATTCTCACTGTTACATCTGTCGGTGACACAGCTGCTACACTCAGTAATCACATTACTGCTGCTACACTCAGTAATCACATTACAGCTGCTACACTCAGTAATCACATTGCTGCTGCTGCTGCTGCTGCTGCTGCTGCTGCTGCTGCTACACTCAGTAATCACATTACTGCTGCTACACTCAGTAATCACATTGCTGCTGCTGCTGCTGCTGCTGCTACAGTCAGTAATCACATTACAGCTGCTACACTCAGTAATCACATTACCGCTGCTACACTCAGTAATCACATTACTGCTGCTACAGTCAGTAATCACATTACTGCTGCTACACTGAGTAATCACACTGCTGCTGCTACACTCAGTAATCACATTACTGCTGCTACAGTCAGTAATCACACTGCTGCTGCTGCTACAGTCAGTAATCACATTACTGCTGCTACACTCAGTAATCACACTGCTGCTGCTACACTCAGTAATCACATTACTGCTGCTACACTAGGTAATCACATTGCTGCTGCTGCTACACTCAGTAATCACATTACTGCTGCTACACTCAGTAATCACATTACTGCTGCTACACTCAGTAATCACACTGCTGCTGCTGCTGCTGCTGCTACACTCAGTAATCACATTACTGCTGCTACACTCAGTAATCACATTACTGCTGCTACATTCAGTAATCACATTACTGCTGCTGCTACTGCTGCTGCTACACTCAGTAATCACATTACTGCTGCTACACTCAGTAATCACATTGCTGCTGCTGCTGCTGCTGCTACACTCAGTAATCACATTACTGCTGCTACACTCAGTAATCACACTACTGCTGCTGCTACACTCAGTAATCACATTACTGCTGCTACACTCAGTAATCACATTGCTGCTGCTACTGCTGCTGCTACACTCAGTAATCACATTACTGCTGCTACACTCAGTAATCACATTGCTGCTGCTGCTGCTACTGCTGCTGCTGCTGCTGCTGCTACACTCAGTAATCACATTACTGCTGCTACACTCAGTAATCACACTACTGCTGCTGCTACACTCAGTAATCACATTACTGCTGCTACACTCAGTAATCACACTGCTGCTGCTGCTGCTACACTCAGTAATCACATTACTGCTGCTACACTCAGTAATCACATTACTGCTGCTGCTACACTCAGTAATCACATTACTGCTGCTACACTCAGGAATCACACTGCTGCTGCTGCTGCTACACTCAGTAATCACATTACTGCTGCTACACTCAGTAATCACATTACTGCTGCTACACTCAGTAATCACATTGCTGCTGCTGCTGCTACACTCAGTAATCACATTACTGCTGCTACACTCAGTAATCACATTACTGCTGCTACACTCAGTAATCACATTGCTGCTGCTGCTGCTACACTCAGTAATCACATTACTGCTGCTACACTCAGTAATCACATTACTGCTGCTACACTCAGTAATCACATTGCTGCTGCTGCTGCTACACTCAGTAATCACATTACTGCTGCTACACTCAGTAATCACATTACTGCTGCTACACTCAGTAATCACATTGCTGCTGCTGCTGCTACACTCAGTAATCACATTACTGCTGCTACACTCAGTAATCACATTACTGCTGCTACACTCAGTAATCACATTGCTGCTGCTGCTGCTACACTCAGTAATCACATTACTGCTGCTACACTCAGTAATCACATTACTGCTGCTACACTCAGTAATCACATTGCTGCTGCTGCTGCTACACTCAGTAATCACATTACTGCTGCTACACTCAGGAATCACACTGCTACTGCTGCTGCACTCCGTAATCACACTGCTGCTGCTGCTCCTCCTACACTCAGTAATCACATTACTGCTGCTACATTCAGTAATCACATTACTGCTGCTGCTACACTCAGTAATCACATTACTGCTGCTGCACTCAGTAATCACATAATGTTTGTGATGTCATGTTTTTATTCAGTGCCAGTTTCACCTTTAAAAATCAGTTCAAACAAATGTTCATTCAGATTTCGTGACCTGTTGAAGATGATGATGATGTAATTTCCTGTCCTACTGCAACACTCAGTCTGTGTTGGTCCTTCAGTAAATTATTAATTGACAGAATGCTTCCACTGTATCTGTTTAAATATTTAAATCTATACAAATATAATCTTATTTTGTAATTGTCTTAAACTCGGCTTGTGTGTGGTGTGCAATGTTTAGATTCATAATTTCTAACGTGCACTAAAATAAGATTCATCTGTCACAGAAAAGTTTTCCTCACAATACTGATTTGATCTTCATCTCAGGGAACCCTGGACTTTCCACAAGTGTCGATTCAAAATATTTAATCTGACGAGGAGTCGCTGGACATGTCTGAATAAAACTTCTGGACAGGAAATGGATTTCACGACGGGCAGCTCTGGTCAGCGTTGAGGGGTTTCCAACAGGAAGTGCTGATGTTTGCTCAGAGGCACTACCATCACAAAGGACATTCTGAGTTTTAGACAGGTCCATGTTGTTACATGTCCACTCGGACGTCCTCACCGCAGTCTTACTTAATCGAGGGCTTTTCTCCCGTCACTTATCGGTGGCGTGTGTGTCTCGTACACTCACTCTGGATCTCAAACTGAGACGTTGAAGTTTGTAAACGGAGAGTCCCCGTCTGAATCCAGATGTGTCTGAGTTTATTTCTGATGGGAAACATGTCGTGGTAACACAGCAGGGACAAACAGCTGAAGACACACACACACACACACACACACCACTATTTCTAAGATAAAGAGATTTAAAGGCAGCCAGAGTCACGGCTGAGTGATTATAAATCAGACACCGATCCATCAGCCACCGACTGTCATCGGCCACGACACAATATTACTGTGATTTTAAACGTGTGGCAATTCGCTGAGTATTGAATCAACATATTCTGATTTATTAGCTTTTACAATGTAAATTAAAGGAAAACTAGATCTGTTTGATCTGATAGGACAAAGTCGTATTTTTACTGCAGAAAGATGATTCAGTTAATTTCATTATTCTAAGATTTGAATTTGAATTGCCAACAATAATAATTCATATGATAAAAAATGGATACTTGGTGTCTGTGTATCGATACGATATCACTGTGATAATCTGCTGTATCGGTTTTTCTCGCCTATATTGTATTGATTGAAACATGAGGTGTCAAATGTTACATCTGTTCTGATGTGCAGCAGCGACTGTCGTAGCGTACAGGAAGTACTTTATTAAATGTTATCATCATCATCTTACAGCTCCTCCTGTCAGCGGACGCTCAGAATAAAACTCACCTTTATATTTGTGTTTAGAAACAAGGTGAGAGGAAGTAACGTACCAACTTTGTAATGAACGCAGCCCTCCAGGTCTCCGACGGTGGTCCAGCCCTGTTTCTTCTCCACCTCAGGATCATTGTGCAGGATCTTGTTCCTCAGCCAGGACAGGTAGTAAACTCGCAGCTTGTTCTTCTTACCTGTCGGAGATCCAGACGTCACTTTGGGTTTAAATCTATTTTTATTTTTTAATAATGAGTGAAGAGGCAGAAATAATTACTGTGGTGATTTTCTCTAAAATTAAAACATAAAGTTAAATTCTCTCCTAAATTCTGTTTCTGATATTTAACACTGTGACTTCAGCATCTGTAAATCTGATGGTCACATGATCCATGTGAATAGACCCTGATCCAATCCAATCCAATCCACTCTATTTATATAGCGCAATTTTAACAAACACAAAGTTTCCAAAGTGCTGCACAGCAAGATAAAAACACAATAATAATAGCAGCACAATAAAACAATGAAGTACACAATAGGATAAAAGTAATAAAATAAAATAAAATGCACTGCCCGCACAAGATAAAAAAAAAATTAAAAATATATGCACATACACATAAAATCATAAAATCAACACGCTACATGGTGTCAAAAGCTGATGAGACACTTTGGTCTCTGAATGAAACACTGATTCTTCATAAAACAAGTGCAGCAGAAGTTTGGAGCTTTGACAGCGACCCTGAGACACTCACAGTGTCCTTATTGGCTGCTGAGATTTAATCCAGGTCTGCACTGATGACAGATTTTGATTTGTTACAGCTGCAAACATCAGTCTGAAACACTGTGGTGTGATTTTCTGCCTCCGTCCTGCATGTGTGCAGTGTTGTGCAACTTTTCAGGAAGTTAGTGATTGTGAAGGTCGAGTTGGGACAAAACAGCATTTGAAGGAACACAATGTTTCAGTGTGATTTGTAATATTGGGCTTTATAAATAAAATTGATGATGATGATGATGTGTGTGTGTGTGTGTGTGTGAGTGTGTGTGTGTGTTTGTGTGTGTGTGTGTGTGTGTGTGTGAAACCTGTTTACTGATGTGTGTGTGTTGCTGAAGGTAACTGTGGACCTCTGTGAATCTGCTGCTGCTTCCTGTTTCCTATCAAAAATTTGTACAACTGTTGGTCCTCAACACACACACTAACACACAGAAGTGTGACGACTGTTGGTGACACTCTGTGACAAACAGTGGGTTACTCACCCCAGAAGACGTCTATAGGAACCGGACCGTAAACTGAGATCACACTTCGTTCATACATGTGTAGGCATTTCATGCAGCTGTTTGTCGGACGGACTCGTGTGCTTTTAAGAAATGACGCTGTGGACACACTGATGCGTTTACTGTGTGAGGCTCAGAGTAATCTGATTACAGAAGATGTCAGGATGTGCCCAGTGCAGTGTTAGAACTTTCCGTGACGCCTATTTTCACATGTCAGCACCGCAAAGAGTTTCATGGAAGGAAATCGACACGTTGCTCTGCGGCATTTCCTTCCATCATGGAAAGCTCAAGAGCGTGTCAGCGTTACATATCGAAAACACACATGACGTGATCTCTCCCAGCCGAGATTTACTCAACATCCGCTTAGCTCAAAATATCTGTTGTGACAGTGTGTGTGTGTGTGTGTGTGTGTGTGAAATTGAGAAAGAGGAGAAGTAAGAAGGTGGACGAACTTTCAACCTGAGAAATCTTGGAACTCGACTGAGTGTTTAAAAATATTTATGCAACAACAGAAGCTGACACGCACATCAGACTGAGAAGACGTAGGACGGAGCTATCTGCAGTTGTGTGTGTGTGTGTGCAGGCGGGACATATTCCAGCGTGACAGGGTGCTATGAGCTGACACAGCATGGTGAACAGAAGTGAAACTGTTGTTCAGTCTCATAATGAAGCAGATTTATCTCTGTGTGTTTGTTCACTTGGGTCTTTACACAATCACCCTCATGCATGACTGTGTGTGTGTGTGTACCTGATATAGTGACCAGGACGTTGAGTCCCTCCAGGACGTCCATCTGCTGGAAGCGCCGTCGGTTGATGAGAGGATAAACTTTCCCCTGACCGCTGCGATCCAACAACATCAGACCACTCTCTGTTCCCACCAACAGGTTCACACCTGCACACACACACACACACACACACACACACACACACTTAGAGATCAACAGTGACACCAAACAGCTACAAACAGCTGGTTATCAGACAGATGTAGTGTGTGGCTTTATGCTGCCACCAGGTGGTGAAGACTTGTAACTACAACATTTAGTAAAGAGAACAGACTATGTTCATGGACGCTGAATAAATGTTATCACACATAATATTATCATATTATAACAGATGACTTCAGCACTGACACACAGTGTAGTAATTAAGGTTATTAAGGAATATTAAACATGTTAAACTAAGATTTTGAAGCAATAAAGGGACAGTTCACCCCCTCTTTCCTGTAGAGCTGTTTATCAGTGTAGATAGTTTAGGTGTGAGCTGCAGAGTGTTGGAGATATGGGCCGTAGAGATGTCTGACTTCTCTCCAGTATAACAAAACTAGATGACACTCAGCTTGTGGAGCTCAACTCAGCATCAATGTCTCTGTACAGAAATCATGATCTGGTTACTCCAGATAATCCACAGACCTTGTTGGCAGCATTTTCATGGAGGAATGTATTTACTGAACTACACCCACTAACCACATCACCAAACAGAAGTGAGCGTGAATCCACTTTGAGCATCAGTTTGAACGTTAGTGAAGTCGTCTTGAAGCTTTACTGATGTACATGATGCAGGTAGAAGTCAGAACGTTATTTGGTTACTGCAAATATGAAATACGAGCTGATGCTGGCCGTGTGTTGAGCAGCCGTGTTGCTTTTTTATTTAGCACAGCTGACCAGAGACATACATGGATGTGTATATTAAGGTATATGAGTGTGTATATTAATGTATATGAGTGTGTATATTAACGTATATGGATGTGTATATTAAGGTATATGAGTGTGTATATTAACATATATGGATGTGTATATTAAGGTATATGAGTGTGTATTTTAACGTATATGGGTGTGTATATTAACGTATATGAGTGTGTATATTAACGTATATGGATGTGTATATTAACGTATATGAGTGTGTATATTAACGTATATGGGTGTGTATATTAACGTATATGAGTGTGTATATTAACGTATATGGAAGTGTATATTAACGTATATGGATGTGTACATTAACGTATATGGGTGTTTATATTAACGTATATGAGTGTGTATATTAAAGTAGCACACACACACACACACACACACACACTCATTTTGTTGACATGTTGTCATGTAATTATGATGTCATACTAAACACTGATGTCTGTTCTTACCCCAGAGCGCAGCACACAGGATCTCAGAGTTAAACCTCTTTTTGTATTTGCGGATCTCCGGTGTGTCGCTCTGTGGGCGAGTGTTGACTGGGTTCACATTGACCACGGAGCCCTTCCGAGATTGGTCGGCCCTCAGCGCCTCTGCCAGCCGGGCATCGTTCCCGTAGCCTAAAAGGTCAAAGGGAAGGGCTTAGGTAGGACAGTGTAGGATATAGAATTTAGCGGGCAGGGTGGGGCCAGTCAGACGGTCAACATTAGAGACATGGATGGATCTACGTCCTCTGAGCCTGTTCATCATGAGAGCAGAACTGATCATTATAAAGAGAGCAGAGTCTGGAAAACAAATGTCATGTGACCAATATCTAAGGATATCAGGATATCATTCCCTGTGCGACCTCAGAGTCCCTCTGCGGCCTCAGATGCAGTCATAGCCTTCGATTATTTAAACCTCAGTCACACAGTGAATCACTCTCCTCTGTTTTTACCATCTGGACTTCAAACATCTGCAGGAACATCAGGAATAATCTGACCAGTGATTAAAAGCAGACTGAACAATGTGGTGAGGTCGGTGTCTGGTCACCAGCTGCATCAGGTGACGGATCAACACACCAGAGTCCTCAAGGCTGAAGATGATGACCAGCTCTCTGAAGGATGATGGGAACAGGAGCGCTGCAGTGACCACAGCTCTAAAGTGACAGTGACTTGAAGCTGAGGAAGGCGGTGTGATTTTGTGTTTTTTAACCTTTGAGCTTATTGTACTTCAGGTGGTCTGAGAGGAAACTCGACTCCTGCTCGTCCTCTTCACTCTGAATTCAGATCTAACTGTCACTGGAGCCTTTGTCCAATCACAGCTCTTTTCAGAGAGAGGTGATGTTCCTATTGGCCGTTCTACAGACGCAGCTGAACGTCACTTCAGTGTGTTCTAACTCAGTGCTGGAGACGAGAAGGTAAATACTGTTACTGTTGTTAACTCTTTCTGTCCTAGTTTATAACTTTGGTTTTTCTAAAACTAAAATTGTCTCAACACACCAAACTTCTGTCAACAAACTTCTGTCATGTCTAAATTCTGTAGCTGCTGAACTTTTACCTCGTCAGCTTTCTGTCTCTTTAATGTGAAGACAGACAGACATCTGGATTAGAAGTTATAGAAAGCACCTCTTATGCTGTGTTCCCACCAAACGCGAATTCGCAAATTCACGCGTCAAGATTACATACAATGTTAATGCAAAGAAGCAATTAGACGCGGACGCGTCTAGCGCGACGCGATGAACGCGATAGAGGCGTCTAGCGCGGTGCGATAGACGCGAAATTCGCGTCCAACGCCTCATCGCTCGAGTTGAAAATATTGAACTTTTGAGGCGAATCCGCGTGACGCTGTGCCGCGAAAGCCAATCAGCGTTGAGATTCTCCCGACGTCACTGGCATGTGTCAACCACGTCCAGTTGTTGACACAGCAATAAACTGCTACTCACCAGAGACAGATGGACAGACGCTCCGCAGCTGAAATGGAGCGGCTGTAGTTGGTGTCCTGCTGGGAGATCCTGGCGCCAACCCTCGCCAACAGGTCCTCAAACTGGGCCCCAGTCAGCCTGAAGTACCGCTGAAAGCGGCTATCATCCAGACGGAGTTCCTGGAGGAGGTGGTGAAACTCGCTGAGCTGGATGCGCTTCTGCAGGATAGGGTGAACCCAAAAACGACGGCGTTTGGCCCTCCGACGCATCTGGGACTTCCAGAGCAGGTACAAAGCAGCGATGGTGGATGGATATCTCAGCCATGGTCATCAGGGGCTACCCGGAGCTATATGATACTACGTGTCTACTCTACAGAGGCCGCAACAAAAAGGAGCAGGCTTGGGTGAAAGTCGCCGAGGAGACTGGTCTACTTGGTAAGTTCTGTAAATATATGTCTTTAATTAGTTTGCAGAATGGTTGTACTATGAATGTTAGCACTAGCTTAGCTCCAGTTAGCACAGCCAGCTTCCCCGCTACTCGCGCGAATGACGCGATAACGCGAATTAACAAAATGGTCAGGAGTCCAAACTCGGGCGTTACGGGCGGCGTGTTACTCGCGTTACGAGCGATTAAATCGCGTTCATCGCGTTTGGTGGGAACACAGCATAAGTCTTTTTGGTTGTGAACCTTTCGGCATGTGATTTTTCCCAGCAGCCCTTGGGGGGCGGGACTTACCGACGTTGTTGAGGGCGCTGCCAGTGGATGGAGAGACTTGGAGGAGGCGTGGGTCGATGAACGGAGTGAAGGAGGAAGAAGACTTGTGTTTCTGCATGTTGTTACTGGACTGGCTCTGCGGTCAGGTAAAAGAAGAGATTCAGACTGTGGACGTGACGTTTATGAAATACAACATTAAAGATATGAATGTAAAGAACTAACAAGGCAGTGCAGTCAGACAGGCTGAGACATCTTTCTGTGTGTTGCATGCAAACATAACAGGTTTGTTCAGCTGGAGGGAAACATGATAAAACTGAGGAAACAGTTCAAACCGACGGTGGAGGGTGAAACATGTTGACAAAAAGAAAAAAAAGGAGGGAAACAAAAATGTAGTAAAAAAAGTATTTCCATGGAAAGCATACTTGCCGTTCAGCTCCTAACTGTCCTGCTGGCTATGATCTATTGTCTGAGGAATGTGAGAATATGACTCGCTGGCTGAAAATAGTCAGACACCAAGGAATAAAATGAGATTTAGATGTTTGGGGGATTACTTGTGAGACCACAACAAGCCTCAGAGGACACTTCAGCAGAAACACTCCAGAGCTCACAGTCTGAGATCAGAAATACAAAACTCACAGTAAATCTAACAGGAAGTTTACAAAGCAGAAAGAATTAAAAAAATAAAATCTGCTTTGTCTCGTAATCGTACTACAAAATGATCCCTGACTGCAGCCCTCCAACAAGCCCTCCGCCTCTCTGCTGAGTCAGCAGAATAAACACAAAAGAAGAAATGATGCGGAGGTCGCAGAGTTAGAGAAGGATCAACACTGCCGACCAGCAGAGGGCGCCATATCTGATCTCACACATTAAAAACATCTGCAGCTAAAAACATGATCATCATGGCCGCTCAGACATAACACACAAGAAGGTCGCTGTGGGCGGAGCCTTTGATCAGTGAATTAAATTATTGGCTGTTTAACTGTTAAAGATGAAAAAAGTCTATGAAACATCCGTCACTGTAAAATCAGAGTTCACTGGTGACTGAATGAACGTCGTTTTATAACCTTCAAAAGGAGCCACAGCTTCACCTGCACAGTCCCGTACTGACACAAAAAACACTCCTGACAACAACGTTCATTAGGTAACGTAACCACAGCTTAACCCTCCATACAGTGATGGGCAGAGCTGTTTCAGTGTTTTCAGCTGGTCATAACTTTTCCTTCCTCATGTTTTACTAAAAGACCCTCGAAGGAGTCAAATGTTCAGTTTATCTGTAAGTACATTTAATTTTAAAGGTTTTAAAACACAAATCAATGTGTGACATCACGGCAGCAACATTATTTTACACATCCTGTGGTGAAGTCACACGTGTTATCTGAACTAGTTCCTGCTGAGTTTCCTGTGACAGTCAGCCATGATGATCTCTACGTCTCTCTGCTCCTCCTGGTTTAACATCACACGTTAACGCTGTCGGGGCTGAGGGGACGTACCTCTATGAGGATGCTGAACTTGTCCAGGGGACTCTGGGGGGACATGGTGGAGGGGCTGGCGAGGCTGGAGGAGGAAGGGGAGTTGGATGCAGAGGAGGAAGGAGAGGAATGGTGGCTCTGCTGGATCAGGTCTGGGAGGTGGTGGATGCGGCCTGCAAAGCCGTTCCTGTCCGAGTGCTGTGTGGAGTGATGGTGGTGGTGGTGATGATGATGGTGGGGGCTGGGGGTGTGATGGACGAGGCCCGGCAAAGAGCCGGGACTCGGGGCGAAGCCCGCGAGTGGGCCGGGTGTTTGAACTTGGGCGGGGCCCGGGCTCGGATGCTTTCTGTTGTCACCTGCGCTCTGGAAGTAGAAAGAGGGGTAGACGACTGTGGGTCTACATGAGCTCCTGACCAGTTCAGGGGATGGGAAGGTGTTCGCTACAGCAAAGGGCAAACTACAGTGGCTACTCTACAGGTGGACAGAAGACTGTCATTAGTTTCAACTTTAAGAACACATGGTCATTTTGTTTTTATTGGTACTAAACTGATCAGGTACTGTACCTGCTGATGTATCCACACCGAGGCTGGGCGGCACCAACAAAGATTAATGAGTCAGTCCAGATTCTACATGAAACAGAGCTCCTTCGCACTTTTAAAAATTCATCTACATTTATTAAATCATTAACATTAACATTACATCAAAATGGAGCGGCCGACTGACACAAATTAAAAAATAAATAAGTAAATAAATAGGCGTGTTGTCGGGACCTGGAGAAGAAGCTGTGAGCGTGCACTTACAGTGAGAGTGATGACTGAGAGGATTTCTTCTGTTTGAGTCGAGACATAATTTTTTAGATAAATCCTGCTCAGTGTGGATTTAAGTTATTAAAAGAGTTTTAAAGTTGATTTAAAGTAAAATTCTGATTTAATCAGGTTTAAAAATTAATCCTTGGTGGTGCAACCCAGCATTAAAAAAAGAAAAGGGTCCTAAATGGACTGAAAATATAGCAAATCTGAATTAATGTTAAACAATGTGACACAGCTCGACTCCTGATGAGCTGCTGGTCTGCATGTGAGCGTCATTTAAACCTGCCGTCTGTAACTGAGCTGCAGCTGAACAGAAATGGAACCAGAACAGAAACATGACCAACACAACAGACACAAAATGGAAAAACACACTCGGGGTCGAGTAAACAAAAAACAACAGAACAATGTGTGTGTGCTTGTTGTTGTTGTTTTATTCGGCCAGTACCTGTCTGACGATCAGTGTGCTGTCTTTGCAGGGCGTCGAGCCTGCGTCGCTCTCGCCTTCATCATGAACGATCATAGTCTTCACCGACTCCGTCTCTCCGTTACTCAGCCTGGACGACCTGTGGGACAGAAGAAGAGACGTCATTATATCGACAGAACACAATCTGGTCCAGATTAAAACCACCTGCAGGTCAGTTACAGACGAGTCCGACCTCCTTCGTAACTCTCAGTGATGTAATGTATTGTTAGCGTGTCACTACTTGTCACTACGTGTCACTACATGTCATGTATACGTACACAGCTCTGGAGTCCTCCGGGCCGGAGGTTGACTCTTCGCCTGCCTCCTGGTCTACCTCTTCATCGTCGTCTTCATCAGTGGTGTCTGAGTCTTCACTGGAAGATGAATAATCTGTCACCTTGTTTGGAGGACGGACGTCGTCCACTGCTCGCAGCTCCTTGGCGAGCGCCGTCAGGTCCTGAAGGTCAGAACAGGTTAAACAGGTCAGAAGGTTAAAACACGTCAGTTTAATCTCACTAGTTCCTGTTTCACTCCCTCTGCTGGGATTCTGTCCATTTGTCATTCAGGCATTTTAAATACAAGTGGAATAAGATTTTCAGTGACTGCTCCTTTGAAAGAGAGTGAAGCAGGAAACAGGAAGCTGCAGGAGAGGAAGAGTGATCACAGACGGACGCCAGCCAATGAGAAGCCAACGTGAGAGTGGCGAAGCCAAGAGATGAAGCTGCTGTGAGGTTAGTGAGTTAATCAGAACATGAGACGATCATTAGAGCTGCAAAGATGAAAACTCAGAACAGTAAAGAAGACAAAGTTCATTGTTTATCAAGGTTAGAGACGGTGTGAGGTCAGATGGCGGAAAGACCGGCGGAGACAAAGCAGGCGATCAGAGCAGAAAACCTTCAGCCAAAGATCAGAATCAGAATCAGAATCAGAAATACTTTATTGATCCCCGAGGGGAAATTATTTATGTTACAGGTGCTCCTTGCAAGAGAGGAAAGATACGTGAAAATATAAGAAATTTAAACAGTAGTATTTACAATTATATAGTTAAATAAACAGGAATTATTAACAAACATAAACGTAAATAAATATATATATATATANATAAATATGTATATATATATATATATATATATATATATATACATATATTGTAAATTGAACAAGATTATTTACACAAACAGAGTATATACAGCCAGGGTGAATGGGGTTATTGCATAAGTTACATTGGATTATTGCAGTGTGTGTGAATGAATCAAAACAACCATTTTACAAACTCTGTTAGCACACCGCTCTGTAAGCACATTGCTCTGTTAGCACATCTCAGTCCACACGAGTCTGTTCATTCAGGCCACGCCAAGTCATCACACCAGCGTTCAGACAGACCACAATCACCTAACCATGACTACACACAGGTCTACATCTGTCCAGCTACAGCTACAGGACCAACCAGTCGCTCTGAGTCAACTCTCACCGCTGGTCTATTCGGCCTGACCACGTCCTTTCTCTCCTCGGGTTTTTTCCCAGCGTTCTCTGGACGTTGGAGGGGTGAGCCCTCTGATTTGCTGGAGGCTGAAGGAGGTGAAAACATCAGTTTATTCTGAAACAGTGGAAAATCCAGATGCGTTTCTGCACCTCTAAACACAGCTGTATTTTAAAGCAGTCACCTCGTTAATATTAAAATATATCAGTCTGTTATTTTAAAGTAAAGTTCAGTCAGAAGACGTGAAGACAGAAACCAGACAGGTGAGTCTGACAGTTGTGATGTCATAAAGTCAGGCACTGCTCCGTGAGCGGGCGTCTGATTTTATGGACCCACAGAAAGTTTATTTGTTTGTTGTGTTTAATGTTTCTTGTTCCTGAAACTAAACAGAAAAAATAAAACGAGATCTGCAGAAAACATTTTAGTTCACTGAAATTAAAATAAAAACTAGACTTTATAAAACTGACTGAAACGAGTCTGTGTTCCTACAAAACTAAAATAAAATATTAATAAATAGGAAGTGTCCTTAGGTTCAGTTTCTGTCAGTCTGGTTAAATGTGTCAACACAACAAACATCAGGAGACGTTGGTGCATCTGTTCACTGAGACCGGGTCGTCTACGTATCTGTGACCTCTGACCTTCTTAAATCTGACAAACAGCCTCCGAATTGTAAAATAAACAAAAACTGAAACAATAAAAACTACAAGAACAAAAAACAAAAATCAAAAACCAAATAAAAAATAAATTAAACTATGAAAACTGTTGTTACAGTGCTGATGTATTGAATGTGCGTGTGCGTGGACTCACAGCGGGCCCTGAACCTCTCTCCAGAGCCGCAGTGAGAGCCGGGCTGAGAGCTGGAGTTACTGGAGCTGCTGGAGGAACTGGAGCCTCCGCTGCCGGTGTTACTGGTCGGTCTGGGAACCAGTTTTTCCACTCGCTCCCACAGCAGCCGAGGCTCTGCCGCGCTGCAGAGCAACAGAGTCAGGGAGGTCAAAGGTGAAGCAGGTCGGAGGGACGGAGACGTTAACTGGTGGAGCGATTCTGTGATCGCAGTTTAAACCTTTTTCAGATTGAAGATGCTCCCAGCTGATGTTTTAAGCTCGTAAACAGGATCTTAATTAACTTTTCGTCTTTATATTTAATTACAATATTTAGTATTAAAAAAAGACCTGAAAACACATAAAGATGTGAAACGACTGGAGTTTTGTGCTGCTGAACGTTACACTGCTTTTACATGCTAACAAACAGGGACACAGATTTTACAATACTGATGTTTAAAGTACTGATTCTGCCGACAGCTGATGCGGATGTTTTTATGTTGTTGTTTATTTTGTTTTTGTTGTTTGTTCCTCGTCTTGTTTCAGGGAAAGAAAAGATCTTCATTATAAAAATAACTGATCAGTTTTAAAGACACATTTATCATCAACCTTTAATTTAATATTCTGTCACATCAAAACATCTTTTTAAAAGAAAATAACTGCTTCAAACCTTTTTTTCAACTAAAACCATCATAATTCCCTCTCTGTCAAAATATAATGTGATTTATTTAACTTATTAACATTAATTATTATGTGTGTGTGTTTTCCACGGTGTTTGAGGAAGTCGTTCTTCTTTCAATGTTTTCTGACTCAGCTCCAGAAAGTTCTCTGTAAACAAACAGCTGCTTACATGTTGTCCTCCAAAGGTAAAACCAGCGGAGTCCCACAGGCCGATATTCTGGGCCCATCAACTTTTTTTAAATCTGTAATCTGATGCAGACTCATGTCGCAGACTGTGTGTTGATGTAACAATAATTTAACATATTTAGTAAGCTATTACAAAAATACTGATTTTTTTTTTAAAATCTCTTTCAGTTTTTATTTTACTAAAAAAAACTCCTGTGTCTAATTTTATACTTAGAAAAACACGTGCTGTAGTTCTGTCTGAGCGCTAACAAGTCCAACTGTTTAACTGTGTTTTTAACTGTGTTGTCTTGTGTTGTTGGAGGAGATCCTTCGTCTCTACCGACATCAGGCTTTCTAACACCTGCTAACTCCCTGTTCTACCTTCACAGAATCGTACAGATCAGAGGAGTTAATGTTAAGTTTACCTGGCGGCGGTGCGGTGCACTGCATGGCTGCTGTGTGAGGCGTTGCCGTGGTGATGAGGCGAGTCTCGCCTTGACAACACCGGGGACCTTGACGTAGTCCTTACAGGAACCTTTTGTGATAGAGACAGTGACGGGCTCACACATAAACACGGATACATAAAACATAAAACAAACTGCAGCCTGTTAAATCCTCCTGTGACGCTCTGCAGCGCCGTCACAAACCCTGACGGACGCCATCGAGCTCGACACCTCCTCAACCAGTGGCTCCATCTTTCAGCTCATTTAACAAACCGTCCATGATCTTAGAGGGACACGGCGGATCATTAACGGGGCTGTATGACGAACTGATCCTGAGTCAGTGTTTTATCTACAGAGAGCAGAGTTCAGTCAGCTTGTCTCCAGTTTAGAGAAGCAGGCGGAGATGAAGCTCAGAGATGTCCTGCTGTGGACGACACATATTTCAGGCAGTATTTACCTCAATGTCCAACAGAGAACTGAAGCTGTTATGTCGCTTTCCGCAGACTCCAATAAGACAAACAGTGATTTAACATCAGTGAAGTCAGGAGCTGCTGGTCGACCTGCCTCCATCAGTTAGTGTGTTTGTGATACTGTGTGACTTTGGTGTTTTACAGGGTTCGTTCAGGAAGGCGGCGGTCGACCAGCAGCTCCTGAGATCAGTGAGGTAAAGTTACTGTTTGTCTCAGTGCAGTCTGATGTCTTTGAGCACAGATGAGGAACTGAAGCTGTTAAGTGACTTCACCTGTCAGACAGTAAAGTGCTGAAAATATTTTTAATATAATATATATATATATGATACACAGGACTTAGCTGTCTGCTTCTCTAAACAGTGGGTGCCCCGACCACCATCTACTGTACATGACACACCGACTATGGATCAGTACCTCCTACAGCTCCACTTCAAAAGATCCGAACTGTTCCTTTAAAAGCTGAGATCTGTCAGTGATGAAATGATCCACGTCAGAAACACTGACATGAACTCTGTATGTTGATTTAAACACGGCTACGTCTGATACAGCTGAGCTTTATCTTGAGAGAACGCTGTGTCCTGATAGGCAGAGAATGAAGTATGTCCACAACACACGTTCTGTACGAGGCCTCCTCCACCATTGTAACCTCTCTTCTCCACCTACCACGCCCCTCAGCTCCACCTTAACAGTGAGCACGGTTACATGCACACAATAATCAGATAACTGGGAATAATCAGGTAATGGTAATAATCCGATTTGACGTGTTTATATGCACTTCAATAATCTGATAATCAGAAAAACCTGGTTTACATGATTCAGTCCTTCAGTTGGATTTCTCCACAAGTACATGACATAAAACTCAAACTTCCTGTTACAGTAGGTACTCATATCCTTGAAATACCTCGAAAAGTACGCAAGTCATATATTTGCAAAATAAAGCACTCATCATGCTGACAGCTTATATTCTTACAGTACTGTTTGTTTTTATCATTAACAAATACATGTGAGAGCATTCTAATGTGTAGTTTATCAGTGTGGAGCCAGTTTTACATACTTTGGGTAGATTCAGAGTAAAAGTACTGCAAAGAGCAATATACAAGTGTATTGTATAAAAACTTGTCACACAAAGTGCATAACATATAAGTAAGATAAAATAAGTGACAATTTAAACACTGAGAATATAAAAATATATTATTTTATGTAAAATCTTTATCTGAAAGGAAACAAAAGCTGTCAGATTAACGTAGTGGAGTAGAAAGTACAATATTTCCCTCTAAACTGTAGTGGAGTGGGAGTATAAAATAGCAAAACCCGAAAGAAACCAGATTAAAGGGTATACATGCACCGAATAATCTGACTATTAGGGAAAAAGCTAGGTGTGTTTATCTGATTTCTCATAATCAGATAATGGCTTTTATCTGATAAAGCCTATTGGATTATGCTGTTTACATGACCACTTGAATAATCAGCTAACTCCAGAAATCAGATAATGATCGGTTTATTAATGTGCATGTAAACATGCTCATTGTCACACCTACAGAAATGATACGTTTGTCCGTCCTGAGTCACGTGTACGTACAGTGATAACAATGAACAAGAAACAGCAGAGTCACAGCAGCCAGTGTTAGAATCAGACTCACATTCACAGACATCAGTTTAAGTTTGGAGTCAGATGGAAAAGTTATGGACTGATGTTAATGAAACATGCTTCTGCTCAACATGTCAACCTGCTGTCAAAGAACGTCTTGCCGGGTTGTCGTGAGGTTTGGCAGCAGCTCTGTGTGTAACAGACGGTTTCTTTCTGGTGGGCAGATAACTTCTGAATTTAGAGCTTTCGTACTCTTCTGAATTCTGACTGCCCACATTTGTGGGTTTCACCACAGTCTCTGCTAAACTTAGACCTCTCCTCCGACACACAAACATTCAGGTGGGAAAATCTGTATTCTTAATGCAGAAGTTTTTTTTCTCCTTCTGAGTTATTTTAATGTCTCTTTGTGGTCGGGCAGTAAAAGACTGAATGAGAAACAGCAACATGAGACAGATTGTCTCAAGTCGTCCTCGTGTTCAGCATCGTCACAGAACCTCAGGCTGGTTTATAACCAGGTCACAGACTGATCGTCAGGGTTCATATTAATAGCAGGATGCAAACACTGGGTGCGTTTACATGTTTACATTTGGACAATATAATTTGATACGGCTCGTGTCGACAGCATGTTCTCTTTGGATGTTCTGAATGAAGCATTTTCAGACATGTGAATTATGTTGGTATTATTTGTGCATGTAAACAACACATTCGGAGTACAGCAGTTTGTGACACACGGCCTGTTGTCACGGATACACTGTACATAAACCAACTCACCGACAGATCGCGGGGCTGTGGAGTCGAGATACACGCCCAAAAGAAAAGAAGGAGAAACACACCTTCTCTGAATCGTTATTAAAGACTTGGATATCGACGCGATCTTTTCAGGAAGGAGGCCGAAGGAATGAAACAGGCTCCGTTCGCCCAGTCGAACAAGTCTGCCACCACGAGAAAAAATCCTAACTGTTCCACTTTCCATATTTTGAAGTGATGAACGACATGTTGGGGCGAGTTAATCAGAGTCTGTAAACAGGATCATTACTGGAATATTAATTTCCATCAGCCGTGTAAACAGCTTTAAAGGAATATTGTCTTTTTCTGATAAGATGAAAATAACTGAATATGTTGTGCGTGTGAACGCTGTCGCTGATTCACATCAGTCAGAGACATTAACTTCCTCTTTCACTGGATATTCCGAGTATCAGATCTAAACACTGTGATCTTCTTGGTAAAGGTCGATCTGATCATTTTAAAAACTGTCGTGTGACTTCAGTGTAGATTTAATTAAATCATCTCTAATTCTCCTACAAACAGGAAATAAAATCTAATCACTGAATCAGTGACAGGATGAAGAATCAATGAGCAGCTGAGGATGATGATGGTCTGATCTCAGGTCAACTACTGCTGCAGACTACACTCCTGTCCTTACCCTGGGCGGGGCCTCCTCTGAGGGAGACACTTCATGCGGCGAGGGCCTATGCTGAGAATGTTGTTGTGGGTCAGTGCGTGCAGGCGTTGATGATGAGGAGGATGGTGAAGAAGATGGAGGGTGATGGTGGGGTTCCTGGCGAAGGTGAAGGTTTTCAAAGCTAGGGGCGAGCGGTTAGCTGAAGGAGTGCGACCGCGACACAGTGGGCGGAGTGGTAACGGTGGAGTTTGATGAGGTCACGCTGATGCTGCTCTTTAAAGCAGCCAGGTGGGAACGGACCTTAATACGGACAACAGAGACACAGACGGGGAGGACGGGTCAGTCTGCATGCAGCGCACTCTAACAAAGACTGAGACATCTTTACGGGTTCATCCACCTGGAGCCATACAGGAGCCGACAACTGCTCCCTGAGGAACACCTCTGTGAAAGTCTTCAGGAAGATTTGATACCAGCCCCTCGTCAGACATGGAGTACGTTTAATTAATGAATACAAATGTTTCCATCAGGTAGAAGCTACAGGGTTAAATATAGGAGGTGACACCTGGACAGGTATAAAAACTCCTTCATGCCTCCGTCAGTGAATCTCCTGAACTCAGGACATGAGGAGGAGGGAGGGTGTGACATGAGGAGGAGGGTGTGACATGATGGGAGGTGTTTCATGTATTTAATGACCTTTACGTTTGTTTCTTTGAGGTGTCGCAGACAAACTGCGCTCAGGACGAATAAAGCTATTTTGAATCTTGTCCATCTGTTCGTGTGAAGACTTTGTGTCACTGATAAAAGTCTGTTCATTCAGACACCACGACTGTTACAGAAATGTTTGTGTGATATTTGGCAGCAGGTGAACAAAAGGGGGCGGAGCCAGCAGTGCGTAGAAAGTAATTCGGCCTGTTAACATTACTTTAGTTGGACGTTAATTTGTCTATAAAATAACTGCACTGAACGACATGATTGTCATTTTGAGACCGTTCTATCCGGCTGATATAAAGATAACAGAATATTAAGACAGGTTCACTTTTTAAGAAGTAATGAACTTTAAATTCTTAAGAATATTCCAACTTTGGTGTCCAAGTCTGAAAACAGTCTGGCTGTTGATTCTGGCATCGTGTCAGTGACATTCTCACATAAACAAACACACGTGTCAGTAAGACAACATGTCCAAACATCGTATGATAAGACGATGATGTAATTATTGTGACAGGCCTAAAAATTAAAGACAGGAGAGAGGAAAGGAGAGGAACTTTTCACTGCTGCATCAGTGATGGGTTTAAAACTTGTCATTTAAGTCGTAATTAATTATGTTCTCACAGATTATTTATCTATTTATTTATTTATTTATTTAGAGAGTTAATTATGCTTCCTGTTTTATAACATCTGCTCAAACATGGAATGATAAGACATGGCGTTGGGTCTGATTCCTGTTTTCTGACATGAATCTAAAGTGTTTTTCCTGGATGTTAATAAATATCAGCGCTGCAGGTGGTGTGGAGCAAAACGTAGAGATTATAGCTCAGTGATAGATTTATTACAGAAGGAACAAGACATACATTTAATCTCTCTGCATGTTTAACCTCCTGCTGCTGCTGCTGCTGCTGCTGGCTTTATGTTAAT